GGTGATGGGGTGCAGCTGATTTGGGGGGGTCCCATCCCGGCTGGCAGGCGGTGGGGTGGGGGGGGGCACAGGGGAGCCCCCGCAGAGGTCTCCTTGCCCTCCCCTGGGGTTGTCCCTGCAGCCCTGGCCCCTTCCCAGGGCCTGATGGCGAGGGGCCACCCGTGGGGTGCTGGCCACCCACCCGGGGTGAGCAGTGGTGCCATGGGGGCTGTCACATCAGTTATGGGGTGGCTGTTGCTCCCTTCCAGCTTCAGCCTCACGGCCCCCTCACTTGCCAGCTGCCCTGGGGGCTGGCAGCGGTGGCGTGGGGGCTGGCCAGGGTCAGCCAAGAGGTCTGATCCAATTATGCCCCCCACTCCTGGCTGCCCCCCGAGGTTTTGGCTCTGGCAGAGAAGCGAGCAGGGGCTGTGGCAGCCCAGGGTCCCCATTTCTCCTCTGCTGCCTCGGGGAGGGCACCTCCTCTCCCACACCGGTGCAGGTGGCCCGCAGAGCCGTGCCATTCTCCATCCTCCACCTCTCACCCAGGGTCTGGGTCCCCAGCTCAGCGTCCCAAGACGTGCCCCTGCGCTGGGAACACTGGCCACGGGCTGGTGGGGCAGCCATGAGGGATGTGCTGGGGTCTGGCTACCGGTGCAGCCTCGTCCATCTCGCCTGGATGTGCCTGTTCTCCTCCGTGCCGGTAAGGGACAAGCTGGGGACGGGCCATGGGGCAGCGGGGTTGGCACCACTGGGCTTTGACCCACCCCAAACGGGCTCGGTCCTGGCTCCGTCGCTTCGTCCTGCCCACCTTGAGATGCTGGGGATGCGGGCAGCCGGCGTGGGGAGACACGGGGTGCCACGGAGGGGTGGGCAGCCAGCTGGAGGCTCTGACCCGGCTCTGGGCTTGCAGAATGGTGGGGCCAAGGTGCTGGAGAAGACCTTTGAGGAGTGGCTGCGGTACCGTGACGAGTGTTTGAGGAGGATGGCGAGCGAGCCCTACCCGGCAGGTACCCAGCTGTGCCCCGGCTCGGGGTCAGGCGTGGGGACATGTGGAGCTGGGTGATTGTCCAGGGCTGGGTTTCATCCCTCCTCCAGCACCCTCTATGGGGTCACCTATGGAGGGATGAGCCTGGGGCTGATGGGTGTCTCCACATCTCGGATGAGATGCCCAAGGCTGACATGCCCTGGCTGGCGTGGGGTACCAGGGGTGATGCCAGCCCCCTTGGAGGTGCTGGCAGTGGGCTGGGGTGGCAGGGATGGAGGTGGCCGTGCCACCAGGGTCTCACAGTTGCTTTTCCCCACCTCCCTGCCCCTGGAAGGGCTGTTCTGCAACCGGACATTCGACATGTACGCCTGCTGGCCCGACGGGAGCCCCGGCACCGCCGTCAACGTCTCCTGCCCCTTCTACCTGCCCTGGTTTGAGAAAGGTGACAATGACCCTTTGCCACCCCAGAGCTGGAGGGGAGCTGGGGCTGAGCCTTGCTGGGGGGGTGGGGTGAGAGGTTCTCGGGGTTTCCCCTCCCACAAAGCTGCTGGGGGGAGAGGGACCCACGAGCAGACCTTGGGGGTGAGGGGACATGTTGGGGGGCAGAGCGGAGCCCGTCCTGGAAGAGGCTCTTTGGGGCTGAGCAGAGTCCGACCCGTGGTCCCAGGAGAGGGGGTTTTTGGGGGGAAGGGGGGAGCTGGAGGGGAACACACCACTGCTTCGTGTCCGCAGTGAAACACGGGCAGGTGAGTCGCCGGTGCGGCGCCGACGGGCAGTGGGTGACGGTGAACGGCAGCCAGCCCTGGCGGGACTACTCCCAGTGCGAGGAGATGGAGTCCACCACGGAGGAGGTGGGGTGGCCCAGCCTGGCCACTGGGCAGGGACGGGCAGGGGCTCCTCGCCCGGGCTCACCATCACGATGCTCGCCCCCAGGAAGGTGCCCGCCGGCTGATGGTGAGCTTCAAGGTGCTCTACACCGTGGGGTACTCCCTCTCGCTCCTCACCCTCGTCTCGGCCCTGCTTGTCCTCACCGTCTTCAGGTAGGAGAGACGGGGGGAGGACGTGGTCCTGCCCCCTTGTCAGCGATGGCCGAGCCATGGGGTGCCCCCACCGCCCCTCCTGACGCCCCCACTCCTCGGCAGGAAGCTCCACTGCACCAGGAATTACATCCACGCCAACCTCTTCGCCTCCTTCGGGCTGCGGGCGACCTCGGTGATGGTGAAGGACGCGCTGCTGGAGAAGCGCTGGGGCATGGAGCTGGTGCAGGTGGCCGACTGGGAGGCTCTGCTGAGCCACGAGGCAAGTGCTGCCACCCCCGGGGGGGGCAGGGGGGACCCTGTGTGATGCTGGGCTGGAATCGGGGTGGGGACCCTCGCCCTGGAGCGGGAGGGTGAGCAGCTGGGTGTGGGTACCCATGGAGCCCCCAGCACCCGGTGGGTGAGCTCTGGGGTGTCCATAAACCTGCTGGGCAACACCCTGCACTTGATGGATGAGCTCTTGGGGTGCCTCTGCTGCCCATGCACCCAGTGGGAGAGTTTTTGGGGGTACCTGTGCACCTGGTGGGTGAGCTCTTGGGGTGCCTGAGCTCTTGGGGTGCCTCTGCACCCTCTGGACTAGCTCTTGGGCTGCCCAGGTGAGCTCTTGGGGTGCCTGTGCTGCTTGTGCACCTGGTGGGTGAGCTTTTGGGGTGCCCATATGCCCAGTGAATGAGCTCTTGGGGTACCCTTACACCTGGTGAGTGAGCTCTTGGGATTCCCTTGCACCCCACGGGTGAGCTCTTGGGGTGCCCATCCACATGGGGGTGAGCTCTTGGGGTTCCTATGCACCCTGTGGGCGAGCTCTTGAGGTGCCCATGCTGCCTGTGCACCCTCTGGGCTAGCTCTCAGGGTGCCCGTGCCCCTGTGGGCAAGCTCTTGGGGTGCTTGTGTCCCCACGGGTGAACTCTCAGGGTGCCTGTATCCTCGTGGGCGAGCTCTCGGGGTGCTTGTGTCCCCATGGGTGAGGTCTTGGGGTACCCATCCACATGGGGGTGAGCTCTTGGGGTTCCTATGCACCCTGTGGGCGAGCTCTTGAGGTGCCCATGCTGCCTGTGCACCCTCTGGGCTAGCTCTCAGGGTGCCCGTGCCCCTGTGGGCAAGCTCTTGGGGTGCTTGTGTCCCCATGGGCGAGCTCTTGGGGTGCCCATGCTGCCTGTGCACCCTCTGGGCTAGCTCTCGGGGTGCCTGTGTCCCCATGGGCAAGCTCTTGGGATGCTTGTGTCCCCATGGGCGAGCTCTTGGGGTGCCCATGCCCCCCTTGGGCAAGCTGCTGGCCCCACAGCAGGTCTCCCCTGGCAGGCGGCGTTGGGCTGCCGTGCGGCGCAGGTGCTGATGCAGTACTGCATCCTGGCCAACCACTACTGGTTCCTGGTGGAAGCCGTCTACCTCTACAAGCTGCTCATCGGTCTTGTGTCCCCGTGGGTGAGCTCTTGGGGTGCCTGTCCACATGGGGGTGAGCTCTTGGGGTGCCCGTGCTGCCTGTGCACCCTCTGGGCTAGCTCTCGGGGTGCCTGTGTCCCCATGGGCAAGCTCTTGGGATGCTTGTGTCCCCATGGGCGAGCTCTTGGGGTGCCCATGCCCCCCTTGGGCAAGCTGCTGGCCCCACAGCAGGTCTCCCCTGGCAGGCGGCGTTGGGCTGCCGTGCGGCGCAGGTGCTGATGCAGTACTGCATCCTGGCCAACCACTACTGGTTCCTGGTGGAAGCCGTCTACCTCTACAAGCTGCTCATCGGGGCCGTCTTCTCCGAGAAGAACTACTACAGGCTCTACCTCTACCTGGGCTGGGGTAGGGGCCACCCAGGCGTGCGGTGGGGACGGGGACCGTACACGGGTGAACTCTCAGGGTGCCTGTATCCTCGTGGGCGAGCTCTCGGGGTGCTTGTGTCCCCATGGGTGAGGTCTTGGGGTACCCATCCACATGGGGGTGAGCTCTTGGGGTTCCTATGCACCCTGTGGGCGAGCTCTTGAGGTGCCCATGCTGCCTGTGCACCCTCTGGGCTAGCTCTCGGGGTGCCTGTGTCCCCATGGGCAAGCTCTTGGGATGCTTGTGTCCCCATGGGCGAGCTCTTGGGGTGCCCATGCCCCCCTTGGGCAAGCTGCTGGCCCCACAGCAGGTCTCCCCTGGCAGGCGGCGTTGGGCTGCCGTGCGGCGCAGGTGCTGATGCAGTACTGCATCCTGGCCAACCACTACTGGTTCCTGGTGGAAGCCGTCTACCTCTACAAGCTGCTCATCGGGGCCGTCTTCTCCGAGAAGAACTACTACAGGCTCTACCTCTACCTGGGCTGGGGTAGGGGCCACCCAGGCGTGCGGTGGGGACGGGGACCGTACCCGGTGTGGGCAAACTGGCCCCAGGAAGGCGGAGGAGGGGGGGGGAGATGGTGAGGGGGGCCTGTGCTGACCCTGGGTGTCCCCACGGTGTCCTCCTCCCCGGGGCTGGTTTCTCAGCTCAGGTGGGTGCTTGGTTTTACAGGGTTTGCTGTGTGACTTGCAGGGACCCCCGTGGTGTTCGTGGTGCCCTGGATGGCTGCCAAGTACCTGAAGGAGAACGCGGAGTGAGTGGGGACGGGGGGACGGGGGGGTGTCCCCACCGGGACGCTCAGCCCTGGGGTCTGTTGGTTGGGGAGCAGGAGAGATCCTGCACCCCCCCCCAACCCCCAACCCCGGGCACGAGGTGATGGTGGTGCTCTCTGTGTCTCCCCGGGCAGGTGCTGGGCGCTGAATGAGAACATGGCCTACTGGTGGATCATCCGCATCCCCATCCTGCTCGCCTCCCTGGTAGGGGGGCACTCACCAGCCCCCCAGAACAGCAGCTCGACCCCTGCCACCGGGATGCTCAGCCCTGGGGTCTGTCGGGGAGCAGGAGAGAGATCCTGTACCCCCCAACCCTGGACACGAGGTGATGGTGGTGCTCTCTGTGTCTCCCCGGGCAGGTGCTGGGCGCTGAATGAGAACATGGCCTACTGGTGGATCATCCGCATCCCCATCCTGCTCGCCTCCCTGGTAGGGGGGCACTCGCCAGCCCCCCAGAACAGCAGCTCGACCCCTGGATCCAGGGAGGGGGGGGGCAGCTCCCAGGAGGGAGGGGTTGGCCCCCAAGGAATGATGCTAATTGCACGTGGGGGTGGTTTGTTTGCAGCAGCTTGATTGATAACCCCCATTGTGTGTGTGGGAAGGAGACACTCCCCCACCACCTTCAGGCTCTGAGGGTCTGTGAAGGGGGGGAGCTGTGCTGAGCCCTAGGGAAGGGTGGCCCCCGCTGCTTCCTACCCTGGATTTTGGGATAGTGGGAGAGGATGAAGAGCAGTCCCGGGGACCTGGCACCATGGGGCTTGTGGTCCCCAAGGGCATGTACAGCTGGGGGGGTGCTGCAAGGGGTGGGGGTGCTGGGCTATGTGTGCCCCATGCTGTCTTTCCCCCCCCCCCAACCCCGGCCAGATCAACCTGCTGATCTTCATGCGGATCCTCAAGGTGATCCTGGCCAAGCTCCGTGCCAACCAGAAGGGCTACACAGACTACAAGCTGCGGTGAGACGGAGGGAGGGGGCAGCTGGGGATGGGTCCTCCCTGCTCCTGGGTCTGGGCCACCTCCACAGCCCCTTCTGCCCTCCCCTCCATCCCACACACATCGTGACATCACCACCCTGAGAGTAACTAGGAGCCCGTCCCCGCTCGCACGTGGGTCCCAGCCCTTTGGTACGTGCTGCTGGAGGGGACCCCTTGTGCTCTTTCAGGCTGGCCAAAGCCACCCTCACCCTCATCCCCCTCTTTGGCATCCACGAGGTCGTCTTCATCTTTGCCACCGACGAGCAAACCACAGGCATCCTGCGCTACGTCAAGGTGTTCTTCACCCTCTTCCTCAACTCCTTCCAGGTAAGGTTGGAGCGTGACACCTCCTTGATCTGCCTTGGGCACCCCAGAGCAAAAATTTAGGGGTTCCTCTTCCCGATCCCTCTCCTGACGGTGCCCCAGCTCGTGGCTGGGCTTAGGGAGGGGGGCCACCAGCTCTCCCACCCCCAGCCCCATTGCTGAGGATGTGATGGTGGCTCCCGTGCTGTGGGTGCTCTCCAGGGCAGTGGTGGCAGGGGGACCCTCAGCCCCAAAAGCAGCTTGGGGAGACTGAGCCCATCCCAGCCCCCCAGGAGAGAGTGGGGGGAGGTGGGGGCTCACTCCCCTGCTCTCCCTCCAGGGCTTCCTGGTGGCCGTGCTCTATTGCTTCGCCAATAAGGAGGTAACGTACTTCTCCTGCTTCTCCTGAGGCTTCTCCTGCACAGCCCTGCCTCGGCTGGTGGCTTTGCTGTCCCCCCACCTTGCCTTGCATGGTCTGGTGGGGAGGGCATGGCCAGGGAGAAGCCCCCACTCTCCTCCCCACCACGGCAGGTGAAGTCAGAGATGAAGAAGAAGTGGCAGCTCTGGAAGCTCGACCACCCGGCACTCTGCTGCGCCCAGTGATGGGATGAGGGGCCCCGCAGAGCCCAAGGAGAGGGGCTGCTGGCCACGACGGCCCAGCTGGGGCATGGGGAAGCTGTGCTGGGGCAGCACCCACCTGGCATGGCCAGGCTGGGACCAATGTCACGGCTGTGCCACACCTGAGAGCCCTGGAGTTGGAGGTGACATCCCCCTGCCGTGCTCTGAGGGGCAGGTGGGCACCCTCGGCTCATCCCAGACGTTGCTGCCCCCTCAGAAGAGCCTCACCTTGCTTGGGCTTGGGGAGATCCTCCTGCTGCTTTCTACTGCTGCCTGGACACCATTGCCTACCTCTGTTGGCATCGACCAGATGTGGAAAACCCCCGTCCCATCCACATCGACCTGGGGACCTGCAGGAGGTGGTGGCTGGAGAAGGAGCAGAAGGGGAGAAGCAGCAGGGGACAGGAGATGCTGCTCAGCCCAGATCTGCTGCCCCAGCACCTGGGTGAACAAACCCCTCCTGATGCACCCTGGACCACGCCAGTGACGTTCCACCACCTTCCTGCTCTCCCTGCGAGGTCCAAGGTCCAGGACCACCTCAACAACACCCTGGGAGCTCTGACACTTCCATCCCAGCCTCATCCTGCGAAGCTCCTCTCCGTAGGGATGCGTTGCTTCTGCCCCGGCCGTCCCCCTCGCTGCACAGGACCCCCGTGTTCCTCCTCCCCAAGCTCCTCCTGCAGCAGAGACCCCCCTGAAAAATCCCACCGGAGAGCGAAGGACTCGAACCCAACCTGGCTGAGATCCCTCCTGTGTCCCCATCCCACCCCTCGGCGTGGTGGCAGGGAGAGCTGTGAAGTCCCGAGCAGGAACCACCCCAAGAAACCTTTTTGCTGGCAAAAAAGCTGGGTGTTTTGGGCCCAGCTGTGCAACACCTGAGCTTCCAGATGTTTGCTTCCCAGCAGGGCACCAGAGCAGCAGCAGATACCACCACCACCACCCCCCCACCTTGGTCCTCTTTGGTCCTACCTTCAGCAGCAGGACAGACACACCGCCCGGCCTGTTCCTACCGTGCCATGCTTTAACCTTGCCCACCAGCTGTGCAACACCTGAGCTTCCAGATGTTTGCTTCCCAGCAGGGCACCAGAGCAGCAGCAGATGCCACCACCACCCCCCCACCTTGGTCCTCTTTGGTCCTACCTTCAGCAGCAGGACAGACACACCGCCCAGCCCGTTCCTACCGTGCCATGCTTTAACCTTGCCCAAAAGGCCACCCCAGGTGGAAGAAAGCAGCTTTTAGTCTCCACCACACGCGAGTGGACATGGTGGTTCTCCATCTCCAGCCCCATCGCATCTCCAGGAGGGTTCCTTCAAGCCCAGGAAGGAGAGAGGCTGAGCCGGGCTCAAGGCTGGGGGAAGTCACACAGGAGTTCTCCTGGATGGATGTCACCCCCGTGAGACCATTTTATACATTAACTCTCTTTTCAGATGTAAATAAACAGTTATTTTTCAGCAAAAGGGTTATTTTTCTGTCTGCTCTGGGGCAGCTGTAGATGGGAGGGCACCAGTTTGCGCTTGAGCACACCCATTCCCAGTGACAGGGGTGTTAAACGGGCACCCAGAGCTCCTGCCTCGAGGAAGGACCACGTTCCCCTCCCCAGGACTCCATCACAGGTTACTTGAGGAGGTAAGTAGGAAAATAAAACATGATAGGGATAAATAATACAAATTGCATCCCGGCCATCCCACACAGAGCAAGGGAGGAGGGAGCTTCTCCCAGACAGGAGTTGGATGGATGGATGGATTCTCTACTCTTCATTGGGGGTTCCAGCAGCCTGGCACCAGCAGAGGGCCACGAAGATGATCAGAGAGGGATTCTCTGCTCTTCACTGGGGGTTCCAGCAGCCTGGCACCAGCATAGGGCCACTAAGATGCTCAGAGGGATGGAGCACCTCTCCTCTGAAGACAGACTGAGGGAGCTGGGATTGTTCAGCCTGGAGAAGAGAAGGCTCCGGGGAGACCTTATAGCAGCCTTTCAATACCTGAAGGTGCCTATAGAAGAGCTGGGGAGGGACTCTTTGCCAGGAGGTGTAATGATAGGACAAGGGGAAATGGTTTTAAATTGGAAGAAAAAAGATTCAGATTAGATCTCAGGAGGAAATTTTTTACTATGGGGGTGGTGAGACACTGGAACAGGTTGCCCAGGGAAGTGGTGGATGCCCCATCCTGGAAGTGTCCAAGGCCAGGCTGGATGGGGCCTTGAGCAACCTGCTCTAGTGGGAGGTGTCCCTGCCCAGGGCAGGGGGTTGGAACTCGATGATCTTTGAGGTCCCTTCCAACCCAAACCATTCTGTGATTCTATAAGAGGCCACACGGCCCCAGGAGGACAAAGCTGTCCCATTTCCTGAGGGCTGAGGTGGTCTCCCCGAGGAATCAGTGCTTCCAAGTATTCTCCAAAGTTCCAAGGCTGGGTCTGGAGAGAGGAATCTCTGGGGACACAGCAGGACTGAGATGGTAGGGACCCGAGATTCCCACCAGCACAAAGCCCAGGCAGCTTAATGGGTGTTGAGATACACCAAGAGCTTTGGTTTTGACCAGAAAGAGGTTTTTATCCTGTCCCATATAAAACCTTTCATGATCACTGCTGACCCCTCAGCACGTAAGCACCTGGGAGAGGAAGCTCTACGTAATTCCCAACTGTCCTGAAAATAAATCAGGGAGGTTATTCACAATTCCACAATTCCTGCTCCCTCCAGAGAAACACACACACACCAGGAAACAGGTTCTCAGTTTTTATTATTTTATCCAAGTGAGCAAATAGTATTTTATTGGGACAGCTTGCCTTGGGGTAGCCCCAGACTCCAGCACAGCCCCCCTTTCAGCACCGAAAGCTGCTGAACATCCTCCATTTCAGGGGTTGCCTCCTCAAGGAGACACAATGCTATAAAGTCCCTCCCTGGTGTCCCCATGGGGCTACTCTAGGACCCCTTTGAACCTTTCCATCCAGGCTCCCACAGCACTTGTCCCGTGGGGCTCTCCTTTTCCTTCACACAGACACTGCTGCCTCTCGCCTCCCCCTTTTCCCAGCCCCCCAAGCACTACAAACTATTACATGTACCCCCTCACCCCCCCAAACCCCCTTTTTTCCTCACCCTGGGACCCAGCAAAGCCAACCCCACCTCTGTGTAGTCCCCTCCTTCCAGCCCCCTACGTTCCTGTCCCTGAAGGCATTGCTGAGCCAGGGCTTCCCCTTCTCTCCCAATGCTCCCAGTCCCTTTCACTTGGGTTTTCTGGGTGGTTTTATTTTTATATATATATTTTTTTTTCTTCTATGAAAATTTTTCCCCTTTTCTTGCCTTGAATTCAAGTCTGGGCTTCCAAGGGACAGCCCTGTGCTAGTACAGACACCTCCCCACCATTCCTCCAGCAAGGGGAAATGAAGGCCAAAGCCCCAGATGCTCCTCCCAGCACCACCTCGATACTCCAAGCAGCTTTCAGGGATGCTCCAACCTCAGGAGAACTGATTTTTCAAGGAGAATTCTGCAGCTTTGTCCCACTCCTGCCACCCCACCAGATGCCCATGTGCACAACACCCATGTTATCTGCTAATGATGAAAAAAATTACCATGCCTAATGATGTTTAAGAGTTAAACGTGAATAGGAAGCAGCTGCCAGGCCCACACAAGCCACCAGTGGGGCAGGATCACATCAGAGCAGGCCATACCTGCCTGGGTGACCCAGTTCTGTCCCCCAGTTCAGTGGAACAGTCAAAGGAGGCATCACCTTCCCCAAACACAGCTTTCCAGCCTGCCCAGTCCCAGGGAGCTGCTGGGAAAGGGTGACCAGCTCAAGGGATGAAGCCAGAAGGGATCTATATGTTTTGGCATCTGTGATCAAGGTCCAAAAAATTAAACTCAGAAGGAACACCCAGTTTCTTCCCCTTCCCAGCAAAACCACCACCACTTTTCCAGACTCACAGACTTCAGCTTTTGCTGCTGGTTTTTCTGCACCCCCAGGACTTGGCAAAAGAGAGGAACAAAGTCACTGGAAACCAGTTTTACATCAATGTAACTGTCACCAGAGCCCTTATGGCCGCTCCCCCAGCTCCAAGAGATGGAACAGTCTCTCTGGGGAGGCAGCTTCTTCCTGCACCTTTGAAAAACACCCACATCCCCAACACAAAAATGCCTCAGCAGAGCTATTTCCAAACACTAGAGCCTAGAAACCAAAGGCAGGCAGTGGTTGAAGACCAAATATACACTGCAGCTCCAGCTGGGGTGGGATTTCTTTTGTCCCTCTCCCATGTGGGACAGATCTGTCCCTCTGCTCTGGCTCTGCCTTGAGGCACAGGAGACTGAACCGTCTCGAGCTCTTTTTTTCCCCCTCTCATGTCCTTCCAGAGGAACATCTGCCTCGCAACCACTGGCAGCGTTGGGTTCTTGGCACTGACAAACCAGACAGAGCCTCTGCCATAAAGCACTGGCCACAAAAAACAGTTGGTTGGGACTGAATAACATGATCAAACAGCCCCCGAGGGGGGGCAGGAATCCGAACCCAAGCAGGGTGGGCTGGTTGGAGGGAGAGGTTCTGAAGCAGAGATTTGGGATGGCAGGAGGGTTACAGAGTCAGGCTGCATGAATTTCACCACAATTCAACGAGCCAAACATTATAAATTCTACTCACTTTACCCACCCACAGCAAACCCCCCTCCCTTATTGCCTCAGGTACATTTTTTGGGTCACCTCCTGACCAAGCCACACAGCACAGAAGGGGTCAGGGCAAGCGTCAGAGGTCTTGGAGGAATATAGGATGTGGAAAAAAGGGTAATGGATTGCTGTGGGAAACCATCAGCTTTCTAACACCACACAGCCCTGAATGACAAGGGCTGCAGGAAGCTTAAGGCAGATAAACCTTTTGGGTTCAGTGCTTCTCCTCTTAACCCAACCTTTGGGTATGAACAGCAGCGATCCCAGGAACCCAGAAAGAAGTCAGGCCCCAATTGCTGCTGGGTTGTTGTCTTCTGCTGTCCCTCGTTCTCCCAGGCACCTTCTCCGACGGCCGAGACCTTTTTTCCATGTGTCCACCAGCTGCTGTGGCACCTTCAGCAGCGCTGCGGTGCTGCCGGCACGGCCCTCGCGCTCATTCTCCCAGGCACACTCAGCTTCCGGGTGGAAGTGTCACCCGACGTCAGTATTCTTCCAAAAATCAAAGAAAAAAAGAGGAGAGTCAGCTTTTCAGTGGGGCAGAGGGACAAGGGGACACGGCCTGGATGAGCATACGATCTGCTGGATCAAGCACTGGCTGACTGGAAGGTCCCAAAGAGTGGTGCTCAATGGATTCAAATCCAGCTGGCGGCCGGTCACTAGTGGTGTGCCTCAGGGCTCAGTGCTGGGACCATTTCTATTTAATGTCTTTCTTGATGATCTCAATAAGGACATAGGGTGTATCATCAGCAAGTTTGCAGATGACACCAAGTTAAGCAGGAGTGTTGACTCCCAGGAGGAGAGGGAAGCCCTACAGAGGGACCTAGATAGATTGGATCACTGGGCCAAGATCAACGGCACGAGTTTCAACAAGGGCAAGTGCCAGGTCCTGCACTTGGGCCACAACAACCCCCTGCAGCGCTACAGGCTGGGGGAAGTGTGGCTGGAGCTGCCTGGAGGAAAGAGACCTGGGGGTTCTAGTTGCCAAACGGCTGAATATGAGCCGGCCGTGTGCCCAGGGGGGCAAGAAAGCCAATGGCATCCTGGCTTGTATCAAAAATAGTGTGACCAGCAGAAGTAGGGAGGTGATTGTGCCCCTGTACTCGGCACTGGGGAGGCCACACCTCGAGTGTTGTGTCCAGTTTTGGGCACCTCAATCCAAGAGAGATCTGGAGGTGCTGGAGCGAGTGCAGAGGAGGGCAACGAACTAGTGAAAGACCTCATCACTCTCTACAACTTCGTGAAAGGACACTGTAGAGAGGTTGGTGCTGGTCTCTTCTCACAGGTAATTAACAATAGAATGAGAGGGAACGGCTTCAAGCTCCAACAGGGTAGGTTTAGATTGAACATTAGGAAGGAATTTTTCACCCAAAGAGTGGTCGGGCATTGGAACAGGCTGCCCAGGGAGGGGGTGGAGTCACCATCCCTGGATGTGTTTAAGGGCCGTTTAGATGCAGTGCTGAGGGACATGGTGTAGGGGAGGACTTTGTAGAGTAGGGGAGATGGTTGGACTCGATGATCCCAAGGGTCTCTTCCAACCTCAATGATTCTATGATTCTATGACTAAGGGTTTTCCAAAGGGAAAACCAACCAGAGGGCACAGAAGGACCAGTTAGAGCAGAGCCCCCGTGTGCAGGCTCTGAGGGAGCACTGGGCACAAGCAGGATGATGGTTGTCACTTGCTGCAAGGAATGATGTCCCCCCTCAACGTCACAGCCCTGTGGTCATCATTACTTCTCACTCACCCTCCTGCTTCCTTACGGCTCTAGCCAGCTCTGCCCGCTCTGCCCCGGGGCTTGGAGCCTTTGGAGGTTTTGAGTCACAGTCTGCAGAGCTTTTCCTGAGGACAAACAAAAATAAATAAAATAAAATCAGTGTTAGCAACAGACTTAGACTCCCGTTTCCCTGTCTTCATGCTGCCTTCTCCCCTGCAGCTTCCACTGCCCTGAAACCAGGAGTGTTGCTGCTCTCTGCCTAGTACTGGCAACAGGTTCCTGTCATCAGGAGACCAGGACACAAGTTGTGGGAACCACTTCACAAGCAGCTCTGACCACGGAGCAGGAGAGATGCAGGGGTGGGGGGCACGTAGCCCCTTCTCTCAGCCTGGACCCATCGGCAGAGGAAGAAGCAGAGCCCAAGGTCTGCAGGGACATTAAGCACAAGAAAACGCCAGCACCAACTTCAGAGCTTGGAAACTTCCCTGAATGAGGTGGGAATTGTTAGGTCTCTCCAAACCTACCACTGCTAAATCATCAAAATCCAGCCCAGCTATGCCTCCCCCTCCAGCCAGCCACTCCAGGTGGCCAGAGCCTCCCCATAGAACCATAGAATTGCCCAGGCCGGAAGGGACCTCCAAAGGCCATCTAGTCCGACCCCCCCGCAGTCAGCAGGGACACCCCCAACTAGACCAGGTTGCCCAGGGCCTCGTCGAGCCTCTCCTTGAATATCTCCAGGGAAGGGGCCTCAACCACCTCCCTGGGCAACCTGTTCCAGTGCTCCACCACCCTCACAGTGAAGAACCCCCTCCTGATCTCCAGTCTAAATCTGTTCCCCTCCAGCTTGAAGCCATTGCCCCTCGTCCTGTCACTGCAGGCCTTTCTAAACAGGCTCTCCCCAGCCTTCCTGTAGGCTCCCTTCAGGTACTGGAAGGCTGCTATTAGGTCTCCCCGGAGCCTCCTCTTCTCCAGGCTGAACAACCCCAGCTCCCTCAGCCTGTCCTCGTAGCAGAGGTGCTCCATCCCCCTGATCATCCTTGTGGCCCTCCTCTGGACCCTCTCCATCAGGTCCATGTCCTTCTTATATTGAGGGCTCCAGACCTGCACACAATACTCCAGGTGAGGTCTCACCAGAGCAGTAGGTCTCTCCAAACCTACCACTGCTAAATCATCAAAATCCAGCCCAGCTGTGCCTCCCCCTCCAGACAGCCACTCCAGGTGGGCAGAGCCTCCCCATAGATCATAGAATTGCCCAGGCCGGAAGGGACCTCCAAAGGCCATCTAGTCCGACCCCCCCGCAGTCAGCAGGGACACCCCCAACTAGACCAGGTTGCCCAGGGCCTCGTCGAGCCTCTCCTTGAATATCTCCAGGGAAGGGGCCTCAACCACCTCCCTGGGCAACCTGTTCCAGTGCTCCACCACCCTCACAGTGAAGAACCCTCTCCTGATCTCCAGTCTAAATCTGTTCCCCTCCAGCTTGAAGCCATTGCCCCTCGTCCTGTCACTGCAGGCCTTTCTAAACAGGCTCTCCCCAGCCTTCCTGTAGGCTCCCTTCAGGTACTGGAAGGCTGCTATTAGGTCTCCCCGGAGCCTCCTCTTCTCCAGGCTGAACAACCCCAGCTCCCTCAGCCTGTCCTCGTAGCAGAGGTGCTCCATCCCCCTGATCCTCCTCGTGGCCCTCCTCTGGACCCTCTCCATCAGGTCCATGTCCTTCTTATATTGAGGGCTCCAGACCTGCACACAATACTCCAGGTGAGGTCTCACCAGAGCAGAGTAAAGTGGCAGAATCCCCTCTCTGGACCTGCTGGCAACGCATCTTTTGATGCAGCCCAGGATGGGATTGGCCTTCTGGGCTGCAGCTGCCCACTGCCTGCTCATGTCCAGCTTCTCATCCACCAGCACCCCCAAGTCCCTTTCCTCAGGGCTGCTTTCCAATACCTCACCCCCTAGTTTGTATTGGTGATGAGGATTGTTCCGGCCCAGGTGCAGAACCTTGCATTTGCTCTTGTTGAACCTCATGAGGTTCACCTGGGCCCACCTCTCCAGCCTGTCCAGGTCCTTTTGGATGACATCCCATCCCTCTGGTGTATCGACACCACCACACAGCTTGGTGTCGTCCGCAAACTTGCTGATGGTGCCTTTAATCTCCCTGTCTATATCATTGATAAATACGTTAAACAGTATTGGCCCCAGCACGGACCCTTGACCCCACACCTTACCCATTTCTCCCACACGCTCCTCCAGGACAGCTGACAGCTCAGGCAGGCTCAGCGACTTCAAGGAAGGTGGCCATCCTTCCAGCACTGGAAGAGGAACCACACGTTTAATCACTCTGCACCCTCTTCGTGACAGAGCAGAGACAAGGCTTTGGTGTCCCTGTGAAGCATCCACACCCAATGCAGCTCCAGTGAGGGGTTCTGGGTCACAGGGGACAGAGCTGGAACTGCCTGTGACAAACTGAAAGGTTTTTCTGGCAATTCCAACACTTAGGAATGACGTTTCTTTTTATACTGGGTGGGTCACATATTAAGAGAGTCTAAAGAGATTCAGTGCAGTGGATAGAAATCAACAAGATCTTTACTTGTCTCACTTTTGTCTTGTCTCACAACACAAGCAGCAAAGAGCAAGTCTCTGGAAGATCATCAAGGGCAGCAGGATCATTTGCCCAGCCATGGACTGCAGTTCCACCCCATGGACTGAACAGAACAGCCCCCCAAGAGTGGGTTAGGGAACCAACCGTGGTGTCCCATTCAGCCCTTGCTCTGGTGACAGTGGGGTAACACACCTGAGGTGCCCCCAGGCTGCAGCACTGGTTAGGGTTAGGGTGAAGCAGGGCTGCCACGGGGTGCCTCCGCTACAGCTCTGCAATTTTTAACCACAAACACCTGCCAGACCCCAAAACTTCCCACTGGCTACGAATAAAAGTTGCTGAGAAACACTGCAGCAGTCCGAGTCCAAACGTACCAAGTGCTTTACATGCTTTCCCTCAGCAAAAAGATTTTTACATTCCATTTAAGAGCTTGGCTGCTCATTTGTTTCCAAATCACTTCTAACTTCAGCCTTTCAAAGGCAGACAAGAAGGTGGCTTGCTCTGGTTTAATAAGGCCAAGTGCCGGGTCCTGCATTTTGGTCACAACAACCCCAGGCAACGCTACAGGCTTGGGGCAGAGTGGCTGGAGCTGCCCGGAAGAAAAGGACCTGGGGGTGTTGGTGGACAGCAGGCTTAACATGAGCCAGCAGTGTGCCCAGGTGGCCAAGAAGGCCAATGGCATCCTGGCTCGTATCAAGAATAGCGTGGCCAGCAGGAGTAGGGAAGTCATCGTGCCTCTGGACTGGGCACTGGTGAGGCCTCACCTCGAGGGCTGTGTTCAGTTTTGGGCCCCTCACTACAGGAAGGACATTGAGGTGCTGGAGCGTGTCCAGAGGAGAGCCACCAAGCTGGGGAGGGACCTGGAGAACAAGTCCTACGAGGAGAGGCTGAGGTAACTGGGCATGTTTAGTTTGGAGAAGAGGAGGCTGAGGGGAGACCTCATTGTCCCCTACAACTACCTGAAAGGAGGTTGTAGAGAGGTGGGTGTTGGCCTCTTCTCCCAAGGGAATAATGACAGGACCAGAGGAAATGATCTGACGT